AAACCGCTTAGAGAGGGCTGGAAGCCCTATGAAGCGGTATATAAGTCTAACTGCTATTGCTATATTTCCCTCCATGATCACATTTTCTGGGCCAGCCCTTAAAAAGACCTTCGGGTAGAAAAGATGTCTACACAGCCACTCTTTCTTCCTGCAAAAGCAGCTTGGAGATAGGTGGGGGCCAGAATCCCTGCAGATGAGGACCCCTCCCCACTCCTTCTCCCAGCTGCCTGATATTTTTTTAAAAAAAACCTCTAACCTCCTCTCTCACCTTGGAGTGCAAAGTCCATAATGCTGGGATCGAGGGCGTCCACCTCCGTGCTCAGCTCAGTCATCACGTTGAGGAAGTCGGGGGCCCTGCTCACCAGGTGCTGAGGGAGGGGGCTGTGGTGGACGCTGGGCAGGGCGTGGAGGGGGGGCGTCTGTGCAGGGGCCGGGGAGTCCGGGGCCAAGCACACCTGGGGCTGGATCTGCCGGTGAAACCGGACGGACTGCAAGGGGAGCGTCCCCATCGGCTGGGGCTGCGCCTGCAGCAGGTGGCCCTGAGCGCTCGCTGCCCCGTGGCTGCGCAGGGAGGCTTCGGCCTCCGCCAGCTTGCCGGCCCTCCTGCAGCCGGCGGGGCGGTCAGTGATCAGCTTGTCCAGTTCCTCTGCAAGGAGAAACGGCCGTATTAAGTGCCCAGCTGGGCAGGCGGAAAGAAAGGAAACTTATTTCACAGCATTTATTATTTGCACTGTGGTTTCTTTTTTTTTTTAATGCACTACAGGTGATCCTTGTCTTAACGACAGTCGGTTTAGTGACCCTTTGACACCAGCTTTTCACACTTAACGACTGTTGCAGAATCCCCACGGACACGTGATCAAAGTTCAGACTCTGGGCAACTGACTCCTATTTATGACGGGCCGGTCGCCGTTTTCCCGGAGTTGCTTAATCCCCTTTTGCAAAATCGACTGGGAATTCAAATTCGCAAAGGTCACTTAAGGAGGCCGAGCTCACTTAACAAATGCCTCACTTAGTGACAGAAAACTGTTGCTCGGTTGTGGTTGTAAGTCGAGGACCAGCTGTACTCCCACCGTTTTTCAGAAGGCCGAGGAAGCCCTGAGACAAAGGAGGGCCGCCTGCCCAGTGTCCCTTCCGGTTGAATAACTCCTGCCGGACCACAGGGAGGGAGGGAGGGAGGGAGGGNAAAAAAAAGGGATTTTTTTTACATCAAATCCTGGTCATCCAAGTCTCTCTTTACGATCCCGCTTCTCTCTTCCAGCTTGATAGAGGCGAACCCGGAGGTCGCCATGGACTGCATCGTTCACATGACCCAGCACATCACAAGCACCCAGAGGGCTGAGGTGGTCCGCCTCCTGGCAACGATGGACAATCCTTCCCCCTCCTGACTTGCGTCCGCTGACGGTGGGAGATTGCCAGCCCTCTGATAAAGGAAGGAGGAGGAGGCGGCGCTAAACCACCTCAGTTTGTGAGCGCCGTCCGGCTGCAGCTTTGTAGCAGGAGCCCCTGTTTGTCCTGAATTAGGAGGGCCAGAGTCTCCCAGTTCCCGGGATTCGCTCTCCTGCCACACTCGGCGGTCCGTATTTTCCCCAACCGCCTGGGTGCCCACCGCACAATGTCCAAGGGAAAAAGGTTTGCACCGCTCAGTCTAGAATGTAGGCTTAAAGTAAGTGCATTTTCAGTTATTGCCCAGGGTTATCTGTTGAGATAAGGGATTCTCTTTCACAAAACCACTCAGGACACAACGCTTTATTAAGATATGTATTGGAAGCGGGAGGAGGGGGGGGAATGTCAGTATCTACCACCCAGCCAGTACGGAGGAGCGGCTGGGGAAAATTTCCCAATAGGCCAGACAGACAGGCGGCCGCGTTGCCCTCCAGCACAGCTGTCCTAGAAGCCTTTGAGAACGGAGGCATTCCTCCCTCTCTCTCCTGGAAAGGTGAAACCAAAAGGGACATCCTCCCCCCCAAGGGAAGTATTTTGGGTTCATGTTGTTTCTTTAGAAAGAAGGCGGGGGGGGGTTCCATCCTTGTTCCTAACTGGCTGAGATGTCAGATACCAGAAGGGGAGACAGTGGTGCTATTTATTTGTGGGATGAGTGGACTTTGCGAGAGGCGAGACAATCAAAACACACTTTTAAAGGGATGAATCATCAGCAGGCGGAAAGTATGATGGGCTGTGAAACATCAGATGCACAAAACACTTTTCTCACACACACACACACACACAGATAGTCTTTTCTAAAGCAGACCTGGGACAAAGGAGGTG